ACGTCTTTTCGACCTGTGCGCGCGAAATCCCGCTGTTTTAAAGGAAATTTCAGAGAAGAAGAGAAAGAAAGAAAGAGAGAAGAGTGTGCTAGCAAGCGTTGATGCATTTGTAAAAAGTGTGACGGTTTAACGGATTATTAATGTGATACACGAGACCGAATGCGCGTACGTGTAAGCTGGTTATTACACGGCTGCACAACTGGGCGTTCTTGGTGCGTTCTGTGCCGCTATAATACGGGTAGAATCGTGCCGGTGTAGTGTACGGAAAAGCGGAAATGTGCATCCTGGAACGGTCACGGCCAATTGGCGTGATGGTGTGCACGGTCCATTAACTCGAAATGAATTTGCGTCAGAAGTGGCGACTCGGCGTTTTTCATCGGCAAGCTGCGGCCTCTTCATGGGCAGATGTGGCGCCGTTGGAATAAATTAATTAATCGTCCCGCGATAACAATACCTATTCGGATATGAAATCACCCGCGAGATCAAGATCTTGCGAAGGACATTTTTACACGCCTGCAGTATTCTGTCGGACTGATTAAAAAATACAATATAGGTGGATATACATACAGATTTGTCAAATCCACGAGGTGACAGAGTCCCCCTTCTCCCTCTTCCCAAGTGTGCTTCGTTTCAATACGCTTTGAACATTTTTCTCTTTTCGATGCACGTCAGAACGTAGCCGAAGACCCAATAAGAGAACTTATTTTTTATTAATTGCCAAAAGTTAAGTTCTCACTGGGCCAGTAACTACGTACTGAAATGCATTGAAATTAAGTGTACATATGATATAATACACAGAAATTTGTATATAATATGACTCAAAATGCAAATTCAACAAAGAAAATGTGGAGAATTAATTTTGTATACAATATGAATGATTAACGCGCATACAATTGCTGTAATGAGTTTCGACGCTTCCGAGTTCACGAGCTAATGGAAGACTTAAATTATAATTAAAGCTAACAAGATCGATAATATAATGTAAAAATATATTGCGTGTAATGTAGATTATGAAAAATTTTTCTGTAAAAAATTTGCGTCGCTCACGAAACTCGAAATGAATTTAGAGATAACAGGTTTTCTCTCTCGGGGAGACGATACCTGCAGAAACGTTCGTGTGATAAGAAATCGCGCGATGAATGTACGATGAATTATTTAAAACTGTAGGAACTAGAGAGCCTTTAAAAAACTAGAGAGCCTTTAAAAAATAAGAGTATGGTTAACTCGGTCACGAGACCTGATCGCGCACTGATTGACTGAGGGCGCCAAGGATATCCATAATTTTGAAAAGAGATTAAAATGGTAATAAAAGGAGAAGAATAGTTTCAGTGGATAGTGTCAATCGATGATTTTTCATATCTTATCTCTCCTCCTTGGCAAGTTTTTACACAAGCAGCGACAGCAATATGTACTATTCCTCTCTTCTCACTGTCATTTTAATATCTTTCAAAAGCTATGGACGTCCATGACGTCTTCAGTCTCAATCAGCGCGCGATCAAGTCAATTGACGAGTCTCTTAATTAAAGGCTTTCTAGCAGAAATTCGTGGCGGGTCTGGGCGAAATCGCCCGACGAGTACAGCAACGGTCGCACGTTGGCGCGAGACGTTATCACGCAAGGCGAAGAGGCCAATTCACCGGTGAATCCGAGTGCGTCTGGGATCGTTTTATGGGGCCCCATTTTCTTGGGAGACGTCCCCTCGATTTTCTCAATCGCGGGGGGAGCTGTAAAACGCCTGTGAGGTTCGGTCGCCACTCGCGCAACTCGCGCGGCGTATATCTGTTCAACCGTGGGCAATTAGACAGGAGCGCATTCTGGTCATTAATTCGAAATGAATTCGCATTTAGAAGGGCCGGAGAGAGCCGACGGGCAAACCGATCAGCAAATTCGATTTTCTCCGCAGCCCGCGTCTATGGATTATTAAACTTATCGATCGTAACGCGCCACGGCTGAGAATGGGAGAAGGGGGGGTCATCGTGGTCACGGGCCGGGTTATCACGAGGTCATAACCGCCCTTCGTGTCGAGTAACCCGCTGCCTCGGCCTCGATTCACCATCCGGCTGGTTGATCGTCCCGATTCCGTTTCTGCCCGCGTCGACGTCGCGCTCTCACTCTATTTCCCTTTTACTCTCTCTCTCTCCTTTTTTCCCAGCCGTGACGCGGGGTTATCGTCGCGCGAGCGGTGTAAGTTAATTGCTCTCCTTTCTCCTGGAAATAACGGCGGCGTTTAAACGCTCTCCCGCGATACCTCCTGCCGGCGGGTCACCGTGACCGGATAGTGCGGCGGGCGCAATTGAATTCGAATTTGTCGTCCGGGTACACACCACGTCTCATTAGGCGACCGCATTATACTCCCTCGGGTATCGGCGAAACTGTACTCACCGTTCGTCCCGTCTCGACCCGATCGACTACGACGACTACGACCACGGCGACACCACGACGACGACGAGAGCGGTGCATGCACGATGTCTACTGATGTTGACGGTCTTGTAATTGCGCCGTTATCGATGCTCGATTTACTCTGCCGGCGAATTCGCCACGGATGCGTGATCCTCGAATTTTTCGCCGACGAGTCCCCGCCAATGGAGCGCTGCCATTACGCCCGCACTCCCTCGCAATCTCGCGTTATACCGCCTCTATCTCTTTCTCTTTTTCATGCGCGCGCGTTCGCGCGTGGGATTTTTCTCTTGCAATGACGCCTGCGTGGTAATCCGGATTACGACAGATATAAAACATCATTGATCGGCGCGATGTGTGAACGAGACAACTAGCCCCGCGCGCGCAAAGCCTGAGAGGAGTTTGAGTGTGTACGAACGACTCGCATCAACACGGGCCGGCATCATGCGCGATTCTTTCTTTTTTTTTCCTTTTTTCCACTCCTCTTTTTGAAGGGAACACGCGCCCCTCGCGCGCGTGCAACAGCCTTGGCGGCGCGCAAAAATTCCAGGCATTATTCATCGATATCGCGCGTGCGCTCCCAATCGAGATTGGTTTTCCAATCTCACCGTTCGATGCGCATCGTAATAATCTGCCGCCGCTATCTCGACGTAAAATTAACTCGATTATACACCGTTCCACGATAAGCATGCGTGCACGCGTAAACAACGCTGCGACAATGTAAACACATTGTTTAATCCCCCTGCACCTTCTGCCTCTCTCCCGTCCTCCTATTACTCCCGGTAGTCTCCGCCACTTTCCAATCCCATCTCACAACGTGTGAGTCACGTTTGCCAAAAAATTATACGTCGCGCACATGCGAAAGGAAAACAAACGTCGTGGCGTTCGTTAAATAATAAAGCTGCAATCGCTGTCGCATGCTGAATAATAAAAACAGCTTAGCCGGCGGAGGACGCGCGTATTCCATCCGTCCGTCCGATCCCCATCGACTTTGAAAATCCAATCGCTTGCTGTTACCAATTACTCACAATCGGCTCGCGATAAATAAAAGACCCGACCTGAACGACAGCTCGCTTTTCTCTCGCGTTACATCGCTTTTCCGCCCGATTTTCAATCAATTTATCAGAACAGAGATGAAAGCAACTTTTGTACGAAGGAGCCTTCGTAAAATCGCACGTTCAACGTGCACACGATTACTAATTACGTATTACTAATTGCAATTTATCGTAATGATATGAATAGCGATGCAATAACAGCCGAAAAATCTCGTACATGCACGGTACATGTGTTGGGTATGGTTAGGACATAACAACGTCAGAATTAATGCGATATAATATATGGAATACAATAACAACACAATGCGTTATTGCGTATTGCATTATCTCTGGCTAAAACTGTCACACGTCGCGATATAACTACAATAACAATAATTACGATAACTATAACTAAAGTTATAGCAAACATTTAGCTTCCGCTGGAAGATTCCTGAAAGTCCAAAGAACACTAATTAGGACAGTAAATCCACCGGGTTATATCCGTAATTAAAGCACATATTTGGTCCATCAAGTAGATTTTCTTTTGGCTCTGAAATACAGGCATGACTCGAATGTCAAATGATATGATTTCGAGACAATTTGTCATTTTTATGTCCGACGATGAGATCTCAATTACAATAGAAAGAAAAAGCCTGTCTTATGCGGTTGATCGAAAAATTGACAGAGTTATACCGTAAATTTCGAGATTACGTTTACGCGAATTGTTTACGCATTATCTACATGATCTTCTTCTTATGCAAACAATGTAAACTATGTGGAATATTATAAATTACATTAAAATATACCAAAAAGAAAAGCACTTCAATTATAAGATAATTATACCGTAACTATTTTTGATATTAATTACAAATGCAATTTTTGGCAAAGATAAAGCATATGGAATTTTTATCTCATTATATGACAGATTGACAGATTTCACTCTGAACGATATAAGAATGTAACCAAAAAATTCTGTGAATTCTAATTTATACAGGAAACAACATTTTGATAAATTTTCATCGGGATTCTAAAAGTGTTAAACAGAAATATAAACTTGCCTGGATTAATTTTTAAGCAAGCCACATACATTCTTCAACCAGTATTCATAGATTACTCATAGTTCACAGATGACATCTTATATATAGGTCATATTGTCTATTCAAGTTAAAATTTTAGTCCTACTTTCGATCAAAACTTGTTAACGTCTATTTATATTCTGAAGAACCAGTGTATAAAAATGAAGTGTTTAATAAAAATGAAGACTGGAGTCTTATTTCAGTCCTTCAGCTCCCCTAAATGGAAGAAAACGCCCAAAATGTCACTTGCAGGTTCTACAGAGGGCTTCTCGGCAAAGTTAGTGGGTTAAAAAGAATCAGAAGAGGCCGATTTAGGCTTCAGAGTATCAAAGTAAGCGTTAAAGGGAATATCGAGGTCGAAAGTAGGATGAAAACTTCGACTTGGGTGCGCGTAGATGTGGAACACCGTGATTTACGCGTCGACGCCCAAGCCGGGAAAAATCGAGGGGGTGTGCAAACCAACGACTCACGGCGTTTGTTTTTGTGCTTTTCAGAGATCCCGGGCAGATGGAGGAGGCACTGCCCGCACGGGCCGATAATGTCGGGTCCCGGTTGCAACCTGGTCGGCGAGGGAGCCGGGGCCGGAAATGCGGCTGCCGCCGGCAAATGCGTTTGCGGTCCGTCGGTGCCGTGGTGCCCGGGTGAGCCGCGGCCCTACATGTACATGACGCGGCACGAGTGCAAGCTCAATTTGGAGGCGAAAATTGCTTACGGTAGGACGCATTCATTGCATATGAGCGCATGATGTATGGGATGCGAGGCGGCGCGATAGGACGCGACGCGACCCGACGCGGAACAGCGCGACGGCACGGTGTCCCGGCGGCGCGATAATGTGCGTCAAAGTGCACTAATGGTGAAATTAATTTCACGGCCGATTCGTCAAATGGCGGGCTTATATCCCGTCTATAGAGGGAATCACTGGTAATAGGCGTAACGCATGGCTATCAATTTTAATTATCCGCATTCGTCAGAGCCGGCGCGGAAACTTGTGTAATCGGTGAAAGTCCGAGCGCGCGCGCGCGCATAGTGGTTTGTTCCGATTCAGTGCGTCCCTTTGAAAATTGAACGGTGATTGGGCCATTGTACCATCTAATCGATACAAATCGATGCAAAGAGATTGATAGGTAGGTAAATAGACAGGCAAATAGATAGATGACTGCCTTTATTATCGCGTTAGCACATTTCCTCTAAGGACGTTATTACTGTATACTAAAGCTATCAAGATAAAGAGAAAATTAAGAGGGAGTTAAAAGTTGAAAGAGGAGAGATAAAGGAGAAGATAGAAATGAAAGTTTGATGTTATCTCATTAATTAGAAATATAGTTGGGATTCTCGGCTAGAAATTTATTCCATTGTTCTGACCCCATCAGTTATCTGGCTTATATAAGATAATGTTATTATTAGATAATATAATTATTAATTATCAATTATCATCTATACGTATATAAACTAGAATGCTTGTCTGCCTGTCTCCCTGTAAGTTCCTAAACCCTTTGATCGATCTCGACCAAAATTTGCATAGTTGCTTTCGAGGAACCTGCGGAAAATGTATACTACGTGAACACCTCACCCCCTTCAACTGCTTTCATCCCCTTGACACTTTGTGATAACTCGGGTAGTTTCAGTTAGTTATTAATGAAGTCCTGATTGCCACTCTGCGTTATATGACTTATCAGGAGCCGATATTTGTACATCTCACCTTGTATAAACCGGATAAATGATCGATATCAAACCTGATTAAGAGCATGGAATGAATTTCTAGTCGGTTTTATATAATTATTTCATCACACGACAGATATTTAACGGCCAATAGAGTTGTTTGCTCCACCTCGTTGTTTGTCTACATCGTGCATGTGTATGCTACACATTTTATGATAAGAGTCGCCGACGTGACAGAGAAAGAGAGAGAGAGAGCAGGATCGATTTCGCGCAAAAAGGAGCAACGTCGTCATTACGAATGGGTCAGGGATAAAGACTGTCCAGAATGGTGTCGCGCACGAATGCCTTCATGGCATCCGCGTACTCGTAATAACCGAGAAAGTTTTTGGGTCGCACGAGTTTCCTTGCCAGCAAACGTTCGTCCCCGGGCTGTTAACGAAACTGATTAAGTCCTCGTCGCATTATTACATCTGTCTTAAACTCGAACTTAAGTTGGACGGCTTGAAAACGTCGCGAGCGCTTTTTATCGGACACGCCGTGAATTCACCGACGCTACGTCTGCGCGCGAGCAATTAGAAGCGGCGTCATTTATCTTGACGTCGTTAATTCTCCCGTATTAACTCTTTGTCGAGAGGTGAGACCATTTTTTTAACGTTATTATCGCGAATCGAACTACGCAGCTGTATTGATGTCTGCACGGCGAAAAAAGTCGGCTGTGATCGGGAACCGGTTCGCGACGAAAAAATCGCGATTTGACAGCCGTCATTCGAGCTGGACGGTCCCATCCTGCTCGATATTATTCGCTATATTTTTACAATCGCTCGTTACTCAGGATGAACGTATACCTTTTCGGCTGTCTTCCCTCATCAGCGCGGCGATGTCCGAGCGCGGATGAAACGGAGAGAAAGAGAGGCAATAGCGAGGTGAATGAGATACGCGCGGAACATAGCGTCGGGTGGGCGCATGATGGCGCGGCGTTAATGAAAAGAAAACAGAAATAGTGCGAGAGAGGCGAGGACAACGGCTAAGAAAAACGGGAAAGCCAGACCGAGGGGGATACAGACGGTATACCAGTAATGAGAAAAAGACATAGCTAGAGGCGACGTTCGTGATGTAACATCGTTCGCCCGCTCGTCCGTTCGTTATCGGCTGCGTCCTTCCTGATTAAAACGCGCAAAAACAACCGCGTGAGCAAAAAGATTGTATCACTCGGGTGACTCGGGGTGACTTTTTACGGATATCTCAGCTATCCAACGTGATTTCTAATAAGTCGTCTGCGCGTCGGAATGTGACTGAATGCCTTTCGCACGCGAGGCCGCGCACACCGGCGGCTATGCTTCGACCGAACGTCTCGACTTGTTTGGCACGAAGGTTCCGTTTATACACGGGAGAATCACTTCAAGTTCGTGCAACTGACCAGACTAAAAACTCACCGACGGGAAATAATATCTCTGTTACCGCGACCGAAAACATTCGTCCGAACATACAGTTGTGTGCAAACTCGACTGAGAGATAACTGAGAGCATTTGGCTGAGTAGAAACCTTCTACGGGAATCGTTCTGTTCCTACAAGCGAGTTTTTCATCTGGTTCTCAGACAACAGAGGATTCAGTTGTACTAACGGAATTGTCTTTTCCATGTACTTTGTAATGCCATTTACTACGTCGAGAAAAAATGTTTGGTATTTGTAACTATATAATCACATAGAGAAATAATTATTATTACTTATGGTCAGAAGAACCAATTCTTTCTTTTATTACTATAATATTAAAGATGATAACTTTATATGCATGTTACTACTATCATTTTCATGTTAGACCAATGAAAATGTATGATTGAGGCCAAAAATAACAAACATCAATATTGGGAATAGTCGCTATTAAAGAGAATTGGATGATGTGAGTGGGAGTGAGAGAGAGAAACTCTAAGACTGAAATGACGAAGCACGTTGCAGCTTCTATCTCACTCACTCACTTTCTCCCTATAAATGACGGACGATGTCGTCCTAACTCTGACTTGAGGGACTTTCTACTATTAACTGATCCTTTCAGCGAGATTTTACTGATTACTGCGCTTGTACTTACATTTGAATTACCAGTTACAAGTATAGTATTTCAGTGAAGAACACACAGATCATATTTTAGAAAGAAACGAGGTGTTTTAACGATCTGTATTAAATCTGTATTACGATCTGTAAATTCAAGATTGATTTCACGCAAAGAAAGAAAAGATATCCTCCTTATCAAAATTGAGATCTGGAGAAAGAAAGAGCAGCGTGTTCATTTATGAGAGGATATGAACGCTCTATCAACATGTCTCAAACTGACCGATACGTGCGCACTCGTTCCTCCTTTCTTCGTTCTCTCTCCTTCAATACGTTCACGTCGAGAGCAACAACTGCGCGCAGTCGACTCCATAACAGTTATGATTAGAGATTTCATTCGAAGTTGCTCAGAATCAATAGTTAACTCGTTCTCTCTTTGGGCGCAACTTCCAGAGGTCCATCTCTCGGCTTAGCGCGGTGTTCAACGTGTAACGAGGTTGTTGGTGAGCGAGTAACAAAAGTAGTTACCCCGGCCGGCGCAGAAAGTTAAATTCGATTCGTTGAGAAAAGTTTAATCGCGCACGTTCTATAAAGGTAGAAGGCAGACGGATTGTTCCTTTGTCGGCGAGTTAAGTACACGAGTAAAATCTCTAAGTCCTAAAGAGGAACACAAAGGCACCAGCCGACCAAGTTCGTTTCTGTACACCATGGCGTACGAGTAGCACTCTCTAAATTGGAATCATGAACTGGTAGCGCGCAGAATACTTTTTTTTTCCTTCGGGTTCGAGCAGTTGACTCCGATTCGAAGTCGACAAATGATCGTTGACTAACGATCTACGATTATTTGCGAGTACGTGTCGCACGCGCGTTTCCCCACCGAAATATTTCACATTTCGATAGTTCGCGGAACGCGTAGCGGAATTATTTTGCGCGCGCCATCCGTGTGTTGCACAGCCACCCGAAATATCGAATGGCTGAAGCTCGTTTAACTCGCCCATTTGTACAAAAATACACGCTTTGTCCGTGCAACGGCCGCTGTTATTATTTTCCCGCGATGAATATTTTGCGGAATTCGCGCCGAGTATCACCGGAGAACAGACGTCATCCGCGCGGCCTGGAAAAGTGATTTCAATGGAGACATATTCCGGCAGTATCATCTCTCTCTCACACACAGGGAAATAAATTGACGTTTGCGGAATCGACCCGCGGATTTGGTCGAACCTCATTGAAAGTAATTGTTCCCCGAGTAATTGAGTGCAATGTGTTACTGTTCACAAAACGCAATAAAAAATATAAAAATTATTGATTCCGTCGTATTACGCCTCGGGACACGATGCGTGGGGCACAGAGGAGAGTAGGTATTACGAAAATAAAGCCTGTAGAAACGAATGCACACGGCGTATACGTGCACGATCGAGCCGCATTGTGTCTCCATTGCGTTTGTATTGGCGCATTCACCGGAATATATAACATTTATAACGCAGCGATTTTTACGCGTGAATTTACTTCACGTGAAAATAACCAAATCCCATCAGACAGTTAACTCGAGATAATTCAGTTATTGGTTTTCAGCCACTCGAGCCCGAAATTCCTCGGGCGCACTTATTTCCGGAAATAAAGGGGATTGTAAAAAGAGAAGAATACGGCGGGCTGCCATTTTCGCACCGAGAGAGATACCAGAGAGAAAGAGAGAGGAAAGAAGGAGGAGGAAGAGGGATCGGTAACTTTGAAATTTTCTTCCTCAAAATACGAGAAGAAATACTAGTTTTACCAAACGGCCGCATCATTTTATGCATTTGCTTTCTGAAATTAAACGTCCGCGTCTATTAAATATAGTCGTGGTAAATACTGCACTATTTATTGTTTAATGAACCTCACGATAATAACATCGTAAGATAAACTGAAATAGAAAGCTCCTTGAAAATAGATAAACTAATAGTAAGAAATTAACGACACATAAGAAGCAAGCACGGATGTCTTAGTGCTATTAAATACTAATATTACTTTATTT